AAACCTTTCCAAATTAAAGAATATGCAGGGGAAAAAAAAAGTTCATTGAGCGATACCACAGAATGTCCTTCGTCAGGATGGAAACTAACACTCAGCCTTGCTGGATGCTATTAAAAATAAATCCCTTCAAGTATGGAAGGGATTAACCTAGAAATTCATTTTAGGCCTATAAGAAGTCATATTTGGCTTTAATCAAGGAGAGAAGTTAAGTAGACGTCAAGAGTCTCCCCTTGTGTCCATTAGCCAGTCTATTCAGGGACTATGCTTGTCTTAACACTATAACCACCACCATTTTCTAGAACTCAGCCTGAGCATATAATATGTACTCAGTAAATATTTGTTGACTGACTGAATTAGAAAAAATAAAAGAATATCAAAATGATATGTTTATGGAAGATTCTATAAGTTTTGGAAACTATCTTGAATAAGGTAAGACTTTGCTTCAGAAGGCAGTCTTGAAGAAATCAGAAGAGGGAAGCGCTGGAGCACTGAGGGCACTGGAGTCAGACCAGAACTGAAGAAGAGTTTGACTTGAAAGACTTCTAAATAAGAACCTACTGAATAGGGGCTTCCCTGGTGGCTCAGTGGTTAAGAATCCGCCTGCCAATTCAGGGGACACAGGTTCGAGCCCTGGTCTGGGAAGATCCCACATGCCACGGAGCAACTAAGCCTGTGTGCCACACCTACTGAGCCTGCGCGCTAGAGCCGGCGAGCCACAACTACTGAAGCCTGCGCTCCACAACTACTGAAGCCCATGCACCTAGAGCCCATGCTCCGTAACAAGAGAAGCCACGGCAATGAGAAGCCCGCCCACTGCAACAAAGAGTAGCCCCTGCTCACCGCAGCTAGAGAAAGCCCGCGCGCAGCAACGAAGACCCAACGCAGCCAAAAATAATAAAAAAAAAAAAAAAAAAAAAAAAAAAAAAAAAAACCTACTGTATAGCACAGGGAACTCTCCTTAATACTCTGTAATGATCTATATGGGAATAGAATCTAAGAAAGAATGGACCTATGCATATGTATAACTGATTCACTTTGCTGTACAGCAGAAACTAACATAACATTATAAATCAACTGTATTCCCATAAAAATTTAAAAATAAAAATAATAAAAAAAGAAAAACCTCTAAATAAAGGAGTAAGACAGAAAACGAATGATAAAAGCAGCTGCAATAATAAGGGATGACGTCCTAGAACTTTTCAGCAAAGAGCAAGATGTTCATGTTTAATCAGTACAGTGTTAATGAAAATAATCCAAACATGTGAAGACTTCAAATTGTTCATATAATAATGATAAAAGCATCAGCAGACAACACATGGGAGCACTTCTCTTGTGCTGGGCACTGGGTAAAATGCTTTATGTATAGAGTATGCTGATTAAGCGCAAGCGCTCAGATCAACTCCCATACCTCCTCCAAATAACTTTGATCCAGCCATTTGATCTGTGTCTAGGTGTCCTGTGTCTCATTATCTGTGAGATAATAATAGCATCTATTCTCTAGGCATGAAGTTGCAAAGATTAAATGAGAATGTGTGGGGAGAGAAACTATAGGAAATTTTGGAGTTCTAATTTCACATAAAGACAGGAGTAATCGGTACAGCCTGATGAGTACGACAGGTAAGCTGAGGAGAGCAAGTCATTCTCAAAATAGTGAAAACAGGACTCACCCATCATATCACTAGGCTGGACTAACTATATCTCTCTTTGATATAGTAAGTCATCCCTTACTTTATTCTTACTTTCCCCTTAATTTCATCATTTTAAAAAATTAATTTCAGATATTTCTTTTCACGCATGTCTCCATCCCTGAACCACGAGTGCCTTGAAGACAGGGGATATGTTTTAAATATCATTTATTCCCAGCCCCTAGAATCATGCTTGACACACAAATACTTGTGCTAGAATGACTGCATTAACAACAGGAAAAGACCATATGAGAAAATTGATGTGAACAAGATTTACAGCAATTTTTTTTTTTTTTTTTTTTTTGGCGGTACGCGGGCTTCTCACTGTTGTGGCCTCGCCCGTTGCGGAGCACAGGCTCCGGACGCGCAGGCTCAGCGGTCATGGCTCGGGGGCCCAGGTGCTCCGCGGCATGTGGGATCTTCCCGCACCGGGGCACGAACCCGTGTCCCCTGCATCGGCAGGCGGACTCTCAACCACTGCGCCACTAGGGAAGCCCAAGATTTATAGCAAATTTTAAGAGGAAGATACAAGAAATACCCTCATAGAAGAGAAATTTGATAAGAACATAGAACTATTTCTATATATACATAACACAAATTATGTAGTACATATATACAAACACACAACCATCTATCAGTGTGTGTGCAAACACAGTTTGTTATTAAGATCTACCCAAAGTGACTTTCTTTTAATTTAACTCCATTAGTCATTGTTATTTCATTCTAAACCATTTCTTCTTACTAGATAAGGAACAGAAGTTCATGCCTCTTCCTATTTTTAAAAAGTGAGAAATGTAACTTAAGGTTGATAAGGGGGTGATGGAAAGTCTTGGAACCATCTGAAAAGGGTAGAAGAAGGAATTTGAAGGGAGGAACAGGGGCCGTGCCGATCTTGGGAATTAACCCTAGGATAAGCAGAACTTTCTGAGCATTCTGCACTTCAGCACAGTTCGGGCTCTTAGTATCTGCCTACCTTTATACCTATCTTCTTGAGTTTCTCCCTCGATTTCATAGTTTTCCCCTGGATTGACAACCTGATTGAACTCTGATTAACCTGTCTTCTGAGTTAACTCTCTACTGGTAAATAGCTGTTTCACATCTTCACACCCTGATCTTAAAATTCTCAGCTCTTTCCTCTTGAACTTAGAAATTCTTGGGTCAAGCAACCTCCTCTCAAACAATCTGATTTTAGGAGGTCATAATTCTCCCTAAATGCCACATATCTTATATTGACAAGCCTCTTGGTATGTAAGATTTACTCTAAATCCCAGGAAAGCTATACTCTCTGTGTGTTAGTCTACTTTTCATGCATTCTTGGGTGAGACATGACCTAGGGCTCAGTCCTACCCCATGCAGAGTAGGTCCTCAAAAAATATTTGTTGGATAAAGGAATTAGCGAGTAAAAAGTCAAGGGTTGAACTCCCTCCACTGCTTGCCTCTGAGCACACAATGCAGGATACACAATGCAGGATACACAATTCTGATTTTCTACTCAGAAAATCACCTTCTCCTTGAGATAGTCTCTCAACTGAAAACAGCTAGTAAAGTTCAGGGGAAAAAGAATCTTGCTTAAGCTAGGAATTTGCTCTTCATTACCACCCGCCAAACACCACACATCACTAGCCTGAAACTAATGTATAGGTCCCAATCCCTGAAGCTCTATCTTATACCTACATCTTTCAACTATTACATCACAGAAGAGGCACAAACTAAAGCATTTCCACCAAACTCTATGGTATCCGCTCCATTGTAATTTCCATTTCAACAATTGCCAGGGTACACACAGTTCTTTCAGCAAAATTAAACCTTGGGAACAGACAGATTTCCACCTTATACACCCCGTCCTCTAATTTGATCTTTTGAATTGTACTGATTTTCAATGGCACAGAGTCAAGATTATAATAAATTCCTTGATGTGTTTGCTTTTTAAAAATTGTCCAGATACATCCATTATTTATATCATCCAACTAAACATCAATAATAAACACTTTATTAATTAATCAACAGTTTTGTATACCTGGAGGGTATTCAATAAAAACTTTGCATCTAGCCTAGTAATAATACATTTACTAAGTATCAACCATATTAAAAAATAATAGAATTCTCAAACCATTCATTTTGATTCCATGGATGTTTACACTATGTCCTCTGAAGCCTCAAAGTAATATTAAAATATTCAATCTAAAAGAAGAGTCTTAAAATTTTTGCATAGAAAAATTATTCTATTACAAGAGCATTCATGTTTTATAATTTTTGCAGTCAAAATGACAAAACCGACATCAAAGAAAAACCAGAATTTATCAACCATGGTTCATTTTAAATATTAATGTTGTAAAAGTCAAAGGTAGCTATAAAACAGACTGACAGAAGTATACTTGTTCTGGATATAGCTCTTTAAAACACACACCTGAAAAGATCAGCCAATATATCATTAGATAAAAATAAGAAGGCATCAAACACTATTATGATGGCATAAGGTTTGTGTCAATTTCATCAATCTAAAAATAAGTCACAGAATGAGCTTAAAAAAAAAAAAACAGGGTAAGGTCAATATCACAAAGTGATTAAAGAGATGGAAGAGAACTTTCTTCTAAGTCATTAAACTCACCAATATTAAACTGAACTCCAGAGCACTTACCATTTTCCTGTGGCATTAGAGAATTTAGTAGGTTCACTGAATTGACTGATTTCTTGGTTAACCTATTTACATGGGTTAAGACCCTGACTGACATAAAACACAACCAAAAAAAAAAAAAAAAAAAAACCCCAGACAGAGAGTGTAATGAAAGAGTGAGTGATGTATAGTTTGGGGTGCAGCCTAGCCAATCAATGTGCTTGACCAGCAAAGAACCTATGGGTGAATATTTATTATTGGAACAAATACATTCTAAAAAGATCTAATACGATAAAACCTGCAGTATGAACACAAACTACTCTAAAATACAGTTCTTTGCCCTGCATAACATATAGCTTATTTTTTATGATTATGTTAAAGCTCTCTTCATTTTGTTCATTGAAGAATAAATTTCCTTAGCTAAGTAAAACCAAAGAGTACAGCGTATGAAATGGCATTAGTAGTGTAGTTCTTTAATCCACACAAAACAAAGTTTATGTTACTTAGAACTCTTCAACTACCTTTAAAATATATATAAGGAAAAGGAAATATTTCTAGGAAATGTATTATCAAGAGAAAAGGTAAAAATGAATCACCTCTGGGAATAATACATCATCATTATGTTTTAATTATATGTAACACATTAATATGAACTCAGTAAAAGCTAGAGCCAGACATATAAGTGAGCTTAAATGATATACCTCCAAGTTCTTTTACATTCAAGATGGCATTCTGGAATGGCACTGCTTTTATACTAAAACCTACAATTAGAAAACAGAAAAGAAAGAATTAGCAACTTAAGTTTTAAAAATGTATAAAATGCTCAAATGCTCTTTTTTAGGCAGATTAAGAGTTATTTTTTCATAGTTCATATTTACACCAGAAACACATAACTTCCAAGACAAACGGTTAACCCAGTACTATCTTCTACCATTTTGCAAAACAGTTGTATGTTACAGCAAAATATAACCCTTTTCTTCAAAATATTGCCTCATTCTTTAATACATAATGCCACTTTGTAAATTTTATCAGTTGCGAGAAAGACACTTGGAAGTATAGAGAAACTTCAAAGAAAATATTAAATCTATCAGGACCTTTGCATCTAATTCCTAAGGTTAATCTTCCCTCACATATAACTTAGCAACCCTAGAGACTAAGGTATCAAAATTATAACCATCTAATATTGAATTACATAGTATCTATGTTAGCGTTTTCTTTCAAGGACATGGTTAAAGTCATACATAAATCTTTCTTAAAAGTACAATCATAATTACCCATTTATGCATTTTATAATGCATGTAATAAATGACTTCTATTATAAAAGTATATTCAGAGTATAGTACTATGATTAATTCTGTATTTAGGACTTAATTATCATCATCTAAGTCAATCAATTCAGGTGCGACATATGTGAGTGTGCATTTACCTATACACAGACACACACACAAATATATACACTAAATGTTTCTGAAATGATCCACAAGAAACTGAAACATGTAATGACTCTTGGGAGAACTAGGTGTCTGGAGGTCTTAAATAGAAGGGAGATTCTTTTGTTTCATTTGAATACTTTGCATATACAGGTACTTCTTTTTCAATGAAAAGCTCTACTAATTTTTAATAGTTAATTTATTCAGTAATTTCCAAGCACCCAATCAATTTAAGGTTTTCAGCATTATTTGATATGTACAATTACAAGATAAATAAGACACGGTCCCCTTTTCAAGAAATTATCAACAGGGTGAAAGGGAAAACAAACAAATACTTTCACTGAAGCAAGTTATGATGGGTGCCTAGAAAGGTAAAAAGATATAAAGTACAATGTATATAAGAACAATTCTTTCACATGGTTTTGCTTTACTTTACTAAAAAACACGTTAAAATGTGCCTTATTATACTCCAGCCTATTATCACCACTCTGTTGTATACTGTCCCAGAGCTTTAAGATTTTATATATTACCTTCTACTTAAGGCAGTGAATATCATGTAATGGTTAAAAAGTGACTTTGGAGCCAGACAGAACTAGGTTTTAATAAGCTCTATTACTGTGGGCAACTTACCAGCCTTGGCTTTCATCGTTTGTAAACTGGGAATGATAGTATCTATGTCACAAAGTTGTAATGAGGATGCGATAATGCATGTTATCTTTATCACAGTGCCTGGTACAAATAAGTACAAAATATAAGACTGCCGACGTTATATTTCAGTGGATGCCATGTTGTTGATGATTTAATCATTAGGTACACTTATCTTCTGCCTGCCTGAATATATTACAGACTCAAGACAGAAATGCTGGTGCTCATTTACGAAGTATTTAGTTGGAGCCATAATGTTATCACTGAATGAAAAGTACATTTGTTGGAGTGATGGAAGTGTAAACTGTTGAAATTTGTTGTACAGAACGTAAATGTTCATTGGGATCTCTGAGAACCTTCCAAAACATACCCTTCCTGTGTGGGTTTAATACAGACTGACACAGTGGGCGTAGCACTATGATTAACGGTGCGTGCAGTCACTGAATCTTAGTAAAATAGCAGGAGTAGGGGGCAGCTTCATGTGGCTGACATACCGGCATATACCTGGGTCTGCAGGAAAGCCTCTCCAGGTGTCTGGCCTCTGGGAAATTACGGAAACTCAGTACCAATCACAATACTCCTGCTGGCACTGAAATTCGCCCACAGGAGACTTGGATGCTTGACTGTATCTACCTACCACACAGGGGTGTTACATGGATTAAAAGGCAATGATTGTGAAATCCTGAAAACGAAAACACTATGTAAGTGCTAACAGTCTATTAGTGGTTAGGTTCAGGACAACCCAAGTATGGATTTTCCAGAGAAATGGGATAAACCCCAACTTTGAAAAAGAAATATTTATGGAGCACATCAGCAATATTTCATCTGCTTTGATTCTTAAAAGCTGACAATATGCAGGCACCCAGAGGGAAGAAATATCCTTCTGGAAATTACCACACCCATATGCAAAATACAACTTTTGAAATTTATTGATCCAACAGGCAGATTATATGACGGTTCCCATTTTGAATTCTTACACAGACTTCATAATAAAATGACTACAAAAATGTCGTCCAATGTTCACTCTAAGCAAAGTAACCTAGCAATGTTATTTATAGGCATATAAATGTTCCTGCAGAATACTCATAAATGTTTTCTCTTCACACAGAACATATGTGGCTAGATTTATACTGCAAAGGTATATGCAGTCTTCCACTTTGCTGTCTTTGTATTATTTTTACAATATAGCTGTGGTAATTAATGTTCAGAGGATGAAGCCTAGATAATCAGTCCAGAAAATAAGAGAATGTACTATTTATGGAAGAGAAACAATATTTTTCTATTTTAGTCATTCTAACTGTTTGCAAGGATTAAAAAGACTTAAAATGTAAAGACACATTTTCAGTTCACCAGAAGGGCAATCAAGAAGGGCAACCATCAGATCAATTGTATTTTATTCCTTTACACTGAGTTGGATGAGGTCAAGAAGGGAAATTAATATTTAGTAGGGTTACAAAGGTCAATCCATCAAAATACCTTTCTCAAAGGGTTGCTTTGAGGAACGAAAATCACTGGATTGCATGGGCACTACAGTAAGAATGTCTGGGTTCAAAGTCTGGCTCTACCATTATTAACTGTCTGACTCTGAGCAAGTTACTTAATTCCACTGTGCCTCAGTTTCCTCAGCTGTAAATGAAAACAGACGGTAGTCAGTGCTATAAAGTGTTTTGTTTTTAAATAAATAAAACTAAAAATTCAGAATACTAATGGTCATCAAATAATCACTGAATGCTTTCTCCCAATCAAAATCATGTGCGGCCTCAAGTTTAGATATATTATGAAAACAGTGGTAAAAATAAGAGCTGCTGAGGAAGCAATCAAAACATTTATAGAGGACTTCTATAGACTAAATATTTGTGGTCCTCCTTAACACTTCTTTCCCTCTCAATCAGTCAATCAACCAATCCCCAAAGCCTTTAAATTTCACCTGCAAAATAGTTCTCAAAAATGCCTACTTCTGAGGGTGTCCCTGGTGGTGCAGTGGTTGAAAGTCTGCCTGCCGATGCAGGGGACACGGGTTCGTGCCCCAGTCCGGGAAGATCCCACATGCCGCGGAGCGGCCGGGCCCGTGAGCCATGGCCGCTGCGCCTGCGCGTCCGGAGCCTGTGCTCCGTAACGGGAGAAGCCACAACAGCGAGAGGCCCGCGTACCGCAAAAGAAAAAAAAAAGCCTACTTCTCTTCATCCTCACGGCACAACTCTCGTCAAGCCACCACCATCACCACGTGGTGAGCCTCCTAACTAAACTCTGCATATATTATTGGCCTCCTCAATCATCCCCACACATTAGCAGAAGTGATTTCCTGAAATGCACTTCTGTTTACATCATTCCCCTACTTAAAAGGGTCTAATACCTTCTCACTGCTCAAGGTATAGTTTGAAACACCTAACAAGGCCCTACCTGATCTGGTTCGTCTTTCCTTCCCTAGGCTTATTTTGTACCATCTCCCCCTCATTTATATTCTTCAGTTCCTAAAACAAGCCATGTTCCTTCCATCTCAGGGCCTTTGCACCTACTGCTCCAAAAGTGTGTGTTCTTTGCCCTTCTGGCAAACTCTTTATCCTTCAGGTGGTATTAGAACTTCACTTTGTCAGGCAGGCCTTCTCTGGTGTTCCTGAAATAGGTTGATTTTTTTGGATCTGTGTGCTTGGGGCACTCAGCATTTCTCCTACATGACTTTCACAGTTCTAATTACATATCAGTTTCTTTACTTGTTTTATGTTTGTTCCCCAGCTAGACTGCAAGGATTCGTAATAGAGATACAGTGTACAGTGTATCTTGTATGCCAGTGCTTGGTCATAATAAGATCTCAATATTTGTTTAAAGATCTGTGCTAAGGGTTTATATTTAGTCAGCCCTCCATATCCAAGGGTTCTGCATCCACATATTCAACCAAGCAGACTGAAAATATTTGGGAAAAAAATGTCCAGAAAATTCCAAGAAGCAAAACTTGAATTTGCTGTGTCCAGGCCATTTACATTGTATTTACATTGTATTAGGTATTATTGGTAATCTAGAGATGATTTGAAGCATATGGCAGGATGTGTGTAGGTTACATGCAAATACTGTATTTTTATATAAAGGACTTGAGCATCCTCAAATTTTGGTATCCGTTGCGGGGGAAGGTGGTCACCAGTCCCCCTCATATACCAAGCGACGACTGTATTTTAGCTGTTAGGACCATCCTTAACTTAATGAATAACTACTGTTCCAGGAAGCAAGTGAAGTCTAGAAGGGTTAAGTATCTGGCCAAAAGTACTAAATGCTGTATTTAAAACCTGAACTCAGGTCTCATCACCTGAGTCCACCAGAGCTCCACACTATAGCACCTCTTCCACATACCAACAAGATGGTGGATTCAAAATTTCTAATTTTGAACCTAAATAACGGTGGAGCTGACTGCAAAAAATACACACATACCCAATAATCCCACTAAATATTTTCCCTCCTACTTATAAATAATCCAACACAAGGAATCTATTTTGATTCTTGTGTTCTCAGGTCTATACTACATTTCCTTATTAATGGAGTAAAAATAATAGTATGAGTTTAGAGAGTACTTTTTTAAAGACGTTATTAATAAAACCAGGAACTCAGGAGGGGAGGGAAAATGTCCAACTGACTCAGTCATGACAGTGTGCTCGCTCTGTTGCTTCTTCGAAAAAATAAGCATCCTCTGATGCTCT